TTACCCCACCACTCTCTTGGTCACTGGCTCCTCCTTCATTCATTTTTTTTCAAACATCTTTATTGGAGTATAATTGCTTTACAATGGTGTGTTAGTTTCTGCTTTATAACAAAGTGAATCAGCTATACATATACATATACCCCCATATCTCCTCCCTACTTCCTACACTCTCGGGTATCAGATCCTTATTTTAATAACCCTTGAACGCTCTGATTTTTATCTGGTGTAGGAAAATAAGGCAGATGGATGAGAATAGCCTTCTCTGAATATTCAGAGAGCAAAGAGGGGATCCTAGCTTCAGATTTCCTGGTCAATCATTGAGCCAGTAATCCATTTAGGAGGGATTTAGAGGTAGCACTCTTTGCATGTGGAGTGAGAATATTAGTTAGTTTGGAAGATATGCTTGCTAGATTATCTAGTGTGAACATGTATTTGTGTGACTTGGGGGTTAGAGGAAGGATTGATTATAGCGATGTTAGGACTCCAAGCTACCTCTTGTGTCACCACTATTCCAAAGAAAAATATTAGAGAAGCATGACTGTAAATTTAAAAAAAGGACACCAAGGGACACAAACCTGACCTCAGCAGCCGAGGGCATGAGTAGAGCTCAGGTGGAGAAGGAGGGAGAAGGAGTCAAAGTACCAGAAGGCCGTGGCAATGGCCATTTCTGCCAAGTGCTTCAAAGAATATAATCCAGTGTGTGTCCTGTAGTCGACACTCATAAGTATGTGCTGAATTGAAGAGGTGCAAGGTCTGGGGCTTCCCTGGTGGCGCAGTGGTTGAGAGTCCACCTGCCGATGCAGGGGACACGGGTTCGTGCCCCGGTCCGGGAAGATCCCACATGCCGTGGAGCGGCTGGGCCCGTGAGCCATGGCCGCTGAGCCTGTGCGTCCGGAGCCTGTGCTCCGCAACGGGAGAGGCCACAACAGTGAGAGGCCCGCGTACTGAAAAAGAAAAAAAAAAGAGGTGCAAGGTCTGAACTGATTGTTCAGTGAGGAATTAAAGACAGTAAACCAGTCATTACACAAAGGCAATTTTCTGTCTTCCCCTCTCCTCTGTAAACTCTACCTTGTATTATTTGACACTGATTATTTGATATTATTCCACGAGTACCAAGCAGGCCATCAGTTGTCCAATGTAAAAACATGATCCCCTTTAGAAAGCAAAGAAGGAAGAAAAGGAGAGAATACCGGAAATGAAGGGAAGGGAAGAAGGAAAGGAGAGCTTGGGTAATCATTAGTGCTGTTCACCAGCACTTCTGGTCTTTTCTTTACCAGCCACATGGTAGAATTGTACTTCCTGACACCCTAGAAGTCAGCCACGTGCTTGGCCTGTAAAATGTGACAGGTGAAGCATGTCCCTTCTGGCAGCCAACCTTAAGAGCTAAGGTGCGATTCCCCACGCTGTTTCCCTCAGCTGTGGCTGCCCTGTTCCAGACGGGGAGGCTACATCCCTGGCCGAGAAAAGGTCAAGCCCGGCTCCTGCCAACCCTGCAAGGACATTCTGTGTGAACGAGAAGGAAATCTTTCCAGTTTTAAATGATAAAAAGCTGGGGTTGTGTGTTACTATAACATAATGTAGCCTGTCCTGAATCATAGAACACAGTAAGTAACATAGTCTTTCGCAGTAGGATGGTAGGTGTTTTTTCTTTTCTTCTTTCTTATCTTTTTGTATGTTCTAATTTTTCAAATAATTTTTTTAATCAATTTTGTACTCTTCTAGAATGGGTATATTTTTTGTAATAAGGAAATAAATTAATTTAAAATAAACTAGGGAAAAGATAATTTTAATGATTTGAATATGTTTATAATTCAAAATTGTATTATATCTTTATTGATAAATGCATGAAATACACAGAAATTAATGCCACGTTCTTGAACCTGGGGTATGTTTTTGGAGCATACTCTTTAGTCACCAAGAACTCTGAAAAACAAAATGTCACATTGTCATGGAATCAAGGTTTACCATATTGAGATAGGTCTGCTCCAGCCCCTAAGAAATGCACCTTCGTGAGGGTGGTGGACTCCTTTGGGGTCCTGGGAGACATTTGTGTGACAGACAACTTCCCATTTATCTGTGGTTGGCTAATGAGATCAGGCAAAACGACCAAGAATGATAGGCATTGCTTAAAAGAGCCCTCTGTTTTCTAATTTTCCCTTCCCTCATCCTTCCCTTTGCACAATACACACACACACACACACACACACACACACACACTAATTAATAATGCAGTCAGGCTCATTCGAGGATAACCATACCATTTGCACATTGCCCTTATTACACAGGAGAGCCTTGTTACATGTGTTTATCTGCACATATTCATTTGCCGACCGGAATGAGATCAGTAAGATCCCATATGCCCTCAAGATGTTAGACTCCAAGCCAGGGCCAACCCACAGACAACTGATGGGTCTCAGCCCTGTTTTCTTTCAATCTCTTCTGACACAAATCGAAGACAGTGCTGCTGTCTTTGAGGACTGAGATTCCATAGACAAAAATTAGGAGTCTCTAGATATTTTGTAAAGGTTAATGTTTTCTTTGAGATTTTACCTAGTGCCTTTGCAGTAGTATTTACAGAGTTTTCTTCCACTTGACCAACCTAGAAATATATTATGTAATAGACTCTCAAAAGAAATAAAAACCCTCTTATTGGTCCTATTGAAAAATGTTCATTGCAGCTCTATTTACAATAGCCAGGAGATGGAAGCAACCTAAGTGTCCATCATCAGATGAATGGATAAAGAAGATGTGGCACAGATATACAATGGAATATTACTCAGCCATAAAAAGAAATGAAATTGAGCTATTTGTAATGAGGTGGATAGACCTCAGAGTGAAGTAAGTCAGAAAGAGAAAGACAAATACCGTATGCTAACACATATATATGGAATTTAAGAAAAAAAAATGTCATGAAGAACCTAGGGGTAAGATGGGAATAAAGACACAGACCTACTAGAGAATGGACTTGAGGATATGGGGAGCGGGAAGGGTAAGCTGTGACAAAGCGAGAGAGAGGCACGGACATATATACACTACCAAACGTAAGGTAGATAGCTAGTGGGAAGCAGCTGCATAGCACAGGGAGATTAGCTCGGTGCTTTGTGACCACCTGCAGGGGTGGGATAGGGAGGGTGGGAGGGAGACGCAAGAGATATGGGAACATATGTATATGTATAACTGATTCACTTTGTTATAAAGCAGAAACTAACACACCATTGTAAAGCAATTATACTCCAATAAAGATGTAAAAAAAAAAAAAAAGAAAAGGATAGTAAAGCCCTGGTTTACAGATAAACTCTTTGCTCTTTTTCTCCTTCTACAGCCCCAGAACCCCTGTTTAGCATGTAAGACAATGAATTACAGTTATTTTTAGTTCAGGATAACAAGTTCAAAAGGCCCTAAAAGACTGAGGCTATTGCTTAGTGCTCATTGCAAAGGAAAACCTTCTGGGAAAGGTCTTGCTTTTTAAGAAACCAAAGAATTTTTAGATCCCAAACTGTACCTGAAAGAGAAAAGAAAACTTTATTAAGAACTTCTACTTTTCTAAATTTACATTTGGAATAGTGAGAGATTATGACAAATGTGCAAATTGGTATAAACGGTCTCTCCACCCTTACTTGGTGGTTTCATTAAGTTTTTTTAAAAATAGAAAAAACAAAAGAAAAAATACATACCCCTCAAAACAAAGACCTTTTACTGAAATTGTCTAGTTTACCCTTCAAAATATTTAATTCCTTTGTACTCTGTAAAATGTCTAGATAGAGGCAAAATTATTGTTAAACTTTTAAAAGGTTGACCTTTAAGCACAGGTCCATGTACTTAAATTGGAAACTAGGTCTCAATGTAGAAGGTGCCCATGGAGCCTATAGACTCAAAGGGTTCTGAAAAAAGTTAATAACCCTCATTCTTTGTGACTAAAAAAGACCCAGGCAGGGCATTTCATACACCGCAAGGAGCAGCTAGTAGCCTGAACTGTTAGCTCAGATAACTAGGCTCCTTCTGCTTTCATCCCATCTTGCTAACATTCTACAAAGATGTTTGTTGCAATGAAATTGATTGCCAGTGCACTTGGCAATTCGAATTGCATTAGATGTTCCTTCTTTTTTAATGCCATTAACCACACGAATGCAATCTTTGGAAGCCCTATATCAGGAACTCAGGACCTGGTGCTGTGGGACTAGCTCAGGTTTTATGGTCAAGGTCCCTTGTTCTGTGGATCTAATTAGCATGCAGAGCAGCTTCTCGGCTTCTAAAGTGTAAGCTTATGCCCTGAGCTGGATTCTAAAATTGAAAGCATTTTTTTAAATGCTCTTATTTCCTGATATTTACAAAATGTGTTCACCTGCAGAAAAGGAGGACCTCAATTAGGGGAATCAACTAGCCCATCAATGAGCAAATGTCTGTCCCTGGGACCTACTGTGTGGATCCCAGGTTGAAGTAAGGAGCCAGTTCTGAAATCTGTGAAAGGGAGCCACAGATGTTGGATGCTGTCAGACTTTGGAGGATTTCAGAGAGCCCCATCTCTGAAGAGCCTTTGAAATCGTTTTCCAACCCCTCCCTACACAGCTTCAATAACCCAGAAAGTTGAGTTACTGTCATGATCACCCAGTGGACAGGGCTGGAGCTGGAGAGCAGAGAATGAGGGTAAAGGGTAAAGACAGCCATCTTGTAGGGCTCATGGGAACTGAAGCCTTGGTGCCCTGACACTATGAAGAATCCCAACTCCTTCACTATCTGGGCTGCAAACGCTCTGGTGTCATGTCGGAGGTCATATAATTGTGACTTGGAAAAGACAGGCCTGATGTATGATTTCTCAGTTGTGGAGCCTCAGGGGAAGAGGGAGGCAAGGGGAACAGAGAAGACCTTAACAGCTGGGAAGTAAGTGTGTTTCCTGTCTCTCCCTCCGCTAGCTGGTGCTTCAGTCTGAGAGAAGAAGCAGGCTGCTCCCCTCTAACCTGTGATGTGCGCTCATTGGTGTGCGTTTCTTTCTTTCCACCCAGGACAGCTTTCCTGCCCGCTTCGGAGGAGTCCATTTTGTCAACCAGCCCTGGTACATTCATGCCCTGTATACGCTCATCAAGCCATTCCTTAAAGACAAGACCAGGAAACGGGTAATGAAAACAAAAACCCAAAGGGGGGATTCAGAGGCACAGTTACGAAGCCTGTTCTCTCCCTCTCTCTCTCTCCCTCTCTATTTTTCATTGTGTTTTTTCCTGCTTTTCTGTAGTCCCTGAGCATTTGAGCCTCAGCTGGAGTTTGCAAATGGCCTGGATTTAATCAGTAATTGAGTAACTGAGTTATTTTACAGTTCGGGTGACAAACCAAAGGAAACATGGAAGGCATGCAAATACCAGATGCCCCTTTTACTGTAAATGCTTGTGGGAAATATGGAGTCAAGCAGCTTCCTGTTCATGGAATATTTTAAGAGCTAGCATTTTGTCCTGTGAATATATTATTGCTACGAAGAATACTGATGATTTGTATCTTTCCCCATGGCTCTTGGGTCATAGCTGCCAGCTCCGTCACCTTTGAGGCTGGGAAAGCATTCTTCTTTGGAAATAACAGAGCTCGTAGGAAGAAGGCTTTTAAAATCTTGATTGCATCAGCCGATGACATTTGGGAAGCCAGCCTCTTCCACCAGGGCTGGGTATTTTTTCATGGCATTCTGGTTAGCTGAGAAACCGAACATTCTTTAACCACTCGGAATCTCAGTTTCTTCATTTGTAAAATGGAAAAACTAACACCCACATCACAGAGTGGCTGGAGTAATTTAACGAGACAGATAGCATAAAGCCATTCACGTAGTAGAGACTCCGTGACACTAATTTCTCTTTCCCATTTAGCTCTCTTTTCTTGTAAGCTTTCCGATTTCAGCTATCACCTGGCTCAGGGACATCACCTCTTAAAGGAACCAGTGTCAGTCTTACAGCGCCTTACATAGGCCTCTATGCCCCAGGGACCCCGTGCTGGGGAAGAGCTCTGAGTATTCGGGGGGGAATGACGATGTGAGGGACACCCTCCCCTACACACTCTGCAGGTTTCCTAACTCCTAGACCTCAGATGCTTCCAGATCCTTAGGAAACACGGCAGTAGGGTATGGGATACGGGGTAATTCCGCTGTCCCCAAATGAGTGTGGAACTGGGAACTAGAATTCACCAGCCCCAAGAGGCAGAGACATTCTGGAACATTCTGCAATCTGTCTGGGGTTCACGACAGTGATACAGGCAGAGAAGTGCCCTAGACTGTTCCCAGTGTGGCTTCATGCTTCCCACTGGCTTCATTTTCTACTTAAGAAGGATCCAGTGGGAATTCCTCCCACAAAGCAATCGACATTTGTGCTGTGCCATTGAAGGGGGTTTCTGGAGCTCTGGGTGCAGAACAGAATCTGACAGGTGGGGATTCCACCGTCTACCTGCTGAATTCCTCCACCCCACAGGACCCCCGGAGAGAGGGCCAGTTTCAACAGCGCTTCTTTTCCTCTAAGAACTGGAAGTGTTGCGTGGGTGGGTACCAGGGCCAGTATTTTGCTCCAGCTTTTCCATGCTTCAAATACTACAATTCCTCCAGTGAGACATTTTGCAAAAGCCAGAATATGTGAATTTCTTCAAAAACATTCTTGTTAAAATTCAGTCATAGCCAACAATCCAGTGTCAGAAAATGTACATTGTTTTCTGAAGTGCTACAGTATTCTTGTGAAGAATTTTAACACTTAGCTTCTTGTCCCCTTCCTCTTTAAATGATGTCATTACATCACAAGTTAAAATCAGTACAACAGAACAAAGTAGCAAGTATTTATTATATACTTATATAGTACATTATAATAAACAGGCACACCACGGAGATATCGCGGGTTCGGTTCCAGACCACCGCAAAAAGGCGAGTATTGTGATAAAGTAGTCTATTAAGTGTGCAGTAGCATTATGTCTAAAAAAATGTTCATACCTTACCTCTTGCACTGTTGGTGGGAATGTAAATTGATACAGCCACTATGGAGAACAGTATGGAGGTTCCTTAAAAAACTAAAAATAGAACTACCATACGACCCAGCAATCCCACTACTGGGCATATACCCTGAGAAAACCGTAATTCAAAAAGAGTCATGTTCCAAAATGTTCATTGCAGCTCTATTTACAATAGCCAGGACATGGAAGCAACCAAAGTGTCCATCAACAGATGACTAGATAAAGAAGATGTGGCACATATATACAATGGAATATTACTCAGCCATAAAAAGAAACGAAATTGAGTTATTTGTAGTGAGGTGGATGGACCTAGAGTCTGTCATACAGAGTGAAGTAAGTCAGAAAGAGAAAAACAAATACCGTATGCTAACACATATATATGGAATCTAAAAAAAAAAAAAATGGTTCTGAAGAACCTAGGGGCAGGACAGGAATAAAGACGCAGACATAGAGAAAGGACTTTAAGACACAGGGAGGGGGAAGGGTAAGCTGCGACGAAGTGAGAGAGTGGCATGGACATATATACACTACCAAACGTAAAATAGATAGCTAGTGGGAAGCAGCTACATAGCACAGGGAGATCAACTCGGTGCTTTGTGACCACCTAGAGGGGTGGGATAGGGAGGGTGGGAGGGAGACGCAAGAGGGAGGAGATATGGGGACGTATGTATACGTATAGCTGATTCACTTTGTTATAAAGCAGAAACTAACACACCATTGTAAAGCAATTATACTCCAATAAAGATGTTAAAAAATTATTAAACAAATTCCTCATTAACAGTCAGAAACTTTACATGTTCTTTTTGTTCTCCTTGAACTTGTGTTTCCATTATACTTCCCCCACCGAATCATAGCTTCATATAACATTTTTTTATACTGGAAAGCATTTTATCGGTCACCCTGTTACATTTCTTTGCAACAAAAATATGTATATAAATTTAAATTACTCTTTGATTACCCATGACCCTAATGCTTTAAGTATCAAAAATTTTTCTTTTAAGTTGGGTAATCATAAAAATGCTATTAATGCACAATTGTCCAAAACAACGTAAATATATTATAAATGTTAATAATTATTAAATTTTAAAAGTAAAATTTTTATTAAAAAAAGTTCATACCTTAATTAAAAATAAAAAACAACAAAAAAAGTGTAATAGTTACATCAAGGATCACTGATCACAGATCACCATGACAAATATAATAATAATGAAAAAGTTTGAACTATTGACAGAATTATCAAAATGTGACCCAGAGACACGAGGAGAGCAAACGCTGTTAGAAAAATGGCACCAATGGACTTGATGCCATGTGCTTGACATAGGGTTGCCACAAACCTTCGATTTATAAAAAGCATGATATCCGTGAAGTGCAATAAAGCACAATAAACAAGGGATGCCTGTAGTATGTAGTATATAGCATAATACTTATATGGTATATTATTATACTCTATGTATTTTAAAAATCACATTTACACTTCATCATGGTTAAGTATGTGTGTGTGTGTGTGTGTGTGTGTAATTGATGGCCCTATACTTGAGTACAGTTTATGCGCATTAAGCCTGCAACTTGAAGAAGTGTGGGAACCGATGTCATTATACAGATGCACTTTAGATAAACTTTCAGGAGTCGATTCCTAAATCGCAGGCAATGGTAATTATCAACTTGTGGCTTATCCACTTTATAGATTTGTTTGAAAATGTTATTTGGGGGTGTTTTCTCCCCTGCTTGACTAATTTCCATCACCATCTATCATATGCTTAGAAGATGCAAACTTGTTTGTTGAAGGTATTGGCAAATCCAGACAAAAACAGAAAATCATTGCAAAAATATCTCACGGTAAATTCTCAGGTCCGTTTTCAGTTCCACTGACTAAGAATTCACTGAGCTTTTTCCTTGTGCCCACACCACCCTGGGAGCTAGGGGAGTATTAAAAGAGAAAGACGACACTGTCCCTTTTCCTGAGCATTCTTTTCTTGCTATGGGGAAGCAAGACATAAATGAACAAATCAGAAAAAACTAGAAGTCATCACACAATGAAGAGTTAATTTGGGGAAGAGGGGACAACCAGAGTGGGCAGGTGCCACGGGGACAGACTGAGAAAGAAGTTGCCACTGGGTGTAGGCTTGGGAAGGATGGAGAGGGTTGAGGAGGGTTCAGAGGGTACTCCGGGGGAGAACACAGCAATGTGGAGCTGTGTGTGAAGCATGACTCGATGGTTTCGGATGGGCTGCATCCCTACTCTTTTCATCAGCAGGGATAATTAAGAGATGACGTCGTACGTGTAAATTTGGGCCATGGCCAAGTAATACCCAATTTGTTCATGAACTTCATTTTTAAGGACTATTAATTCAGGCCCTTTTCTGAGCAATAAATTAACACTTTATGCAGATTAAGCTACAGACACAAAATTGAACGCCTCTTTAAACCCCGTGATCACCAGCAGCGCATCCACTTTGTCATTGCTAGATTGTGTATTAGATTAAATGCTTGGTCATAAGTTTTGGATGTTTTCCTTGCTAATTATTTTTTCTTTCCAGATTTTCCTGCACGGAAACAACTTAAACAGCCTCCACCAGCTAATACACCCTGAATTTTTGCCGTCTGAATTTGGAGGAACCCTTCCTCCTTATGACATGGGAACCTGGGCCCGGACGTTACTGGGTCCTGACTACAGCGATGAAAATGACTACACTCACACCTCCTATAATGCAATGCACGTGAAACACACATCCTCCAATCTGGAGAGAGAGTGCTCACCCAAGCCGATGAAGAGGTAAGGCCTGGGTTAGCAGAGCCTCCCAGTTAGAGATCCAGAGGCGTTTTGGATTTGGGCCTATTGTGGGTTAAGTAATTGAAGACCTTTATGGGCACAGAACTTGAATAAAATAAACTGCAATACATTCTCAGCTGAGTTCACCAGAACTGAAAGTAAATGGGGGTTGGCTGGCCCAGAAATACAGTTGTTCCCATTGTATGATAGAAACAGTAAAAGGCTGGGACCTCATTCATGTCGTGATTACAGTCCTAGTCTCTACGGAATCTGTTAACTCACACAGAATGAAATGTGGGACCTTTGAGATACATTGAATGAAAAAGCAGTCTGCTAGAAAACGTTTCTATCATTGATGCATTTGGAACCATTTATTGAGCATTTACTTGGCCACAGTCACTGAGTAGGCACTGGGAGTACAAAAATGAATAAAGACGTTAAAAACAAAAAAACCGAGAAGGCGGCCCTGGGAAAATCTGCCAAGTAAGACTTCTAGCAACCAATTTCTAATGTGAGTGATGTTTGAGCTGGGCTCTGAAGGATGAAAATCAGCAGCTCAGTCTTCAAAAGGAGGAAAAGACAAGATAGACAGAGGCCTGGAGGCAGTGGAGGGATGGGATGTTCTGGTGTGGTGTTGCAGATAGGCGTGTGAGGGTCAGGGGTGAGAGTGGGAATAATGTTCCAAAAATGGTTGGATGCAGGTGGGGAAGTACGTTGCATACTGTGTTCAGTGGAGAGCCATGAAGGAGAGTTTTTAAAAAACTGATGTACAAATAATGTACGAAATGTATAAAAGGTAAAACTTTATTTTACTCCTTCAATCACTATTCCCCAATACCAACCCCTCCCCAAAGGAGGGATCAGACTGGGGTGAGCCCTTCCGTTCTCTTTTCCATATATTACACACATCTATACACATCCAGAGAAAATATCTAATACCGGGTATTGTGTAGCCTAGTTTGATAGGGCTGCTGTAACAAAGTCCCATAGACTAGGACAGATTAGGTGCCTTAAATAATAGAAATTTATTTTCTCATATTTCTGGAGGCTAGGAGTCCAAGATCAAGGTATCTGCAGGGTTGGTGCCTTCCGAGGCCTCTCTCCTTGCCTTGTAGATGGCCATCTCCTCTCTGTGTCTTCATATGGTCTCTTCGTGAGTGTCTGTATCCTAATCTCCTCTTCTTATAAGGACACCAGCCATATTGGCTTAGGGCCCACCTCATTTTATCTTAATTAACCTCTTTAAAGATGCTATCTCCAGATATAGTCACAGTCTGAGGCACTAGGGCTTAGGACTTCAACATGAACTTGAGGAGGGGACACAGCTCATCTCATAACATGTCATTATGTAACATCTTTCCACGTCAGTAAATCTAGGTGTATCTTATGTTTTCGGTGCTGTGTAGTGTTCCGGAACATGGATATATCACAGTGTAGCCATTTCCCTGTTGATGGGCAGTTAGGCTTTTTCTCTGTTCTAAATGGGGCTCAATGAACCTTTTGAACCTTTTTGATGTGCCTCTTTCATTCTCAGGAGAAAGTTCCTCTGGGTAGACTTGGAGCCCTGAGGCTGCTGGGTCAGAGGACTGTGTATCTTAAATTTCAGTCCACACTGCCTAGCTGCCCTCCAAAATGACCCTCTTCCCACCAGGAGTATGTAAGAATCTCTCTCCCAGACCCGTGAAAAGTGCTTGATATTATCAGACTTCATTTTTTCCTCTTGAGATATAATCGACATACAGCCCTGTATAAATTCAAGGTATACAACGTAATGATTTGACTTACACACGTGATGAAATGATTATCACAATAAGTTTAGTGAACATCTATCACTTCATATAGATACAAAATTAAAGAAATAGAAAACACTTTTGTTCCTTGTAATGAGAACTCAAGATTTAAGATTTACTCTATTAACTTTCACGTATAACATAACAGCAGTTTTAATTATATTAATCATGTTGTACATACGTTACATCCCTAGTACTTATTTTTCTTATAACCGGAAGTTTGTACCTTTTGACCACCGTCGTCCAATTTTCCCTCCCCCTCCCCCCTGCCCCTGGCAACCATAAATCAGACCTCCTTTTCTACGAGTTTGGTTGTTTTTATCCTTATTAGATTATAATTGCTTTACAATGTTGTGTTGGTTTCTGCTGCACAACAAACGGAATCAGCTCCATATATCCCTACATCCCGTCCCCTGTGGGCCTCCCTCCTACCCTCCCCATCCCACCCCTCTAGGTCAGTTTTAACCATAATCCTGATGGTGGGACAGCCGTACGTATTTTTGTTTTCATCTGTATTTTCCCGCCAGACATAGTTAAGCACAGTTACAGTCTGGGGTTTGTAAGGATCGTGGAATTATCAGAGAAAAGGAGGCTAAAAGCCATCAGCAGCTGATATGGGGGCTCAGGTGGGAAGATGAGGGCTGGAACGGACAATGAAGTGGTAGAAGAACAGCTGAATTCTGGAGATGTTTGGGGAGGGAGCAGTGTCACTGTCAAAGCCTCCTTTGGGTCGCTGGGCTCATGTTGATGTCCTGAACTGACACAGTGTCCAGGAGGAGAAGCAGCTCTGCATTTCCTGCTCAGTCAGGATTATTACACTCAAATGTCTGGAACACCTCTCTGCTGGGACGGGAGGGACCTGGAAATTCATTTACTCCCCAGGTTATTAGTCAACATTCTCTGGGAAGTGGTGGTCATGGTGGCTGAGGTTGGCTTTGTGCCTCAACAGGGAAGGGACTGACTTAGCGGCCCGCGTCCTGACCTACTCTCAGTCCAGATGACAGCACAGTAACAACTGTAACGACAACTCACACTCTTGACACTGTTCTGAGCCCTTTAGCTCATTAAACTCTTTAAATCCTCAGCACAACTGTATGAGAAAGGTATTGTCATTATTCTCGTTTTACAAATGAGGAAACTGAGACACAGAGAGGTTAAGCAACTGCCCGAGCTCACACAGCTAGTAAATGGCCAAGCTGGGACTCAGACCCAGGCACGCTGGCTCCGTGCTCTGGGTTCGTGTCCTCTATAAGATAGGGCACGCTGCCTGCTTTTCCTTGTACTTTCTATCCTCAACTCCAGTGCCAGCCTTCTCTCTCCAACCCCTCCATGGACAGGAATAGTGTATCTCATGTGGCCTGTCCCTACCCTATCTCTTTCGGATACAGCCATCATACCTTCCTATGTCTGAACTTCCAAAGTCAAGTGGCATGAAACAGGAATTTGCCACTCTTTCCCCAGATGATCAGTTACAGAGTTACACCTTTTTTGGGTGACTAGACATGTCCTGACTCCAAGTTCCACCTCTGAATTAATGTTGAGGATCAGAGGAGGTGACACCCTCCCTTATCAGCCAGTGAATTCTGGAGGGTAAAGGCTTTGTCTAACTAACTCTTGTTCACCTCACTCCCTCCCCAAGAATCCAACTCCACGTCCGACGCACAGCAGACGCACAGCAGACACGCAGCAGACACGCAGCAGACACGCTCTATGTGCTCTGCACGCTCTACACGCTCGCTGCATTTCAACATTGAGTGAAAGCTGCCACCCTGCAAACCCATCCTTGGTGCACTTGCCCAATTGCTTCAAACAAATTGTCAGCTCCCAGGCGGAAAGAGCTAATTCTGCTTTACCAAGACTCCCCTGGATCTTGCCTCTTAGGATCTTATAGGGGAGATAAGATGTCCGCACAAATAACTGTATTGGTGCAGAATGGGAGAGCCACTGTGAAGGAGGTGTTAGACCTGCTGCAGTGCTCTGAGGACACATTCACTAATTTCAACCAGAAGACTCAGAGCAGTCTTCGTGAAGGAAGGCAAAGCTGACCCAGGTTTTGGAGAAGGTAATATATCAGAGTCAACATCCAGGACTATGCCAGAGTAGCTAGCAACTGCATATGCATCTCATTACCCCACCAGTCCTGCTGTCCTTGGCATCCTTGAGTCTTTGCTTGGGGATTTCAGGCAGCAGCAGGATGGGCAGCGACAGCCTGGTGCCAGCAGTGATGCCAGCAAGGAGGGACCACTCCTGCTATCGGGCTGTGCCTGCCGTCAGATGCCTCACAGACAAAGCTCTGTGATGAAAGTGGAGATTACAGGGACAGAACAGTCATCATTCAGAGCATCTTTTGACCTGTAAGGACCCAGAGGGGATGAGAAAATTGGAAACAGAATTGGAGGAGACTTTGAAGGTCATCTCTTCCAGCCCCCCACCCCATATGGTGGCCTGTTCTCCAGCACAGCCTGTCAGGCGGCCCCAAGTTGCACCATCCAGAGACGGGCAGGCAGCTTATGGGCCAGCGTGTGCCCTGCTGCACGGCTTCGGGACGTGCCTCCTTATTCTGAGCCAGAAGACCTGGGTCTGACCTCTGCAACAGCGCTGTCAATTCCACTGGGTAGACGATGCCCGTAGTCCTAATCCTGCCATAGTTTCCAACAGTCTTCAGACCCATTTGGAATCAAATGGGCTTTTGTGAGTGTCCTTGGGACCTAATCACTTTTCATAATGTGGTTCAGGAGCAGAAATTATCTCAGTTCCAGGCGGCTCGGAACAACGCATTCTGGCACAGGCGCAGAGTAAAATCCAAGATGTGTGATGTTCTCAGTGAATGAGTGGTTCTAACAGCACTTTTTTTTTTTTCCAGGTAGTTTTGGTTCAACCCTTGAGCACAGAAACTTTAAAAAATTATTAGTTTAGTTGAAAATTTCTCTATACTACTTATTTCTATATTGGTCAGTTCTTTGATACGATAATGCCTTTGTGGGCTGAGTGTGTGACATTTTCTGCTCTAATACTAGATGACCCTGAGTTTTGTATTTTGAACTTCTTGTTTCTGTTTTTTATTTTATTTGTTATAGTCTATGGCCTTGCTCTCAGGCCATCGGCTGCCACTTTGTGTTCTTGGGACTGTGTAGGTCTGAAGCACCCTACTTCCTCCTAATCTACTACTGGAATATGTTTAAGATCTGGAAAGTAGGTAGCCAAACTTTTTAA